TATATATATATATATATATATATATATATATATACACACACATATATAAACTTTATTACTTATTAATATTACTTTATTTATAAAATATATAAAACTTGCACACCTAGTCCTACACAGACATACAGTTAGTCAAACGCTATTAAGATTTGAAATCCGAAAATATTTTCATAGAGAGCCGGTCTCTAATCATCTGTGTTCTGAAACTTAAAGTTTATTGTTATAACTTTACAGAGTTCGGTAACAAACACTTCAAAGGTTAAATATGCAGTAGCAAAAATGGTGTTAGCGTTGGAAAGTTTGATTCATTTTATGTGATTCAATTTCTTCACTTCCATGAATCGATTCAAAACCCGATTCTCAATCAATTTTGGTCTATAGATTTTCACACACTATAAATGCACACACATCAATATATACAGTACAAGAGAAAAATAAATATGTGAAAATATAAATAGGTAAAATATTGACATTTATTTCCATGCATAGTTATAATGCTGTGTAAAAATCATTATACTTAATATTAATAATGGTAACAAAGTTCTGTGTATTATGAAACAAATAAATCATAAAATGTTTGGAAAGTGGGCTTGGAAAGTAGGTAGTAACTGATTACATATAATCTAGATTATATAATCTAGAATTAAGTACTTGCAATTATATATATATATATATATATATGTGTGTTGTCTGCAATGTGGGTGGTTTCCCTGGCCCCTAAACACCCCCTCTACACAAACACTGGCCAGCACATTCGGCCCACTGTTCGTGGAGCGCAAAGGCCAGGGCGGATTTGCTCTGTTTGCCGTCCTCCTGCACCTCACCCCTTAGTCGAAAAGAAAAACTCCAGCTTTCTGTCTCAGAGGACATAAATCAATCGTTTATAGGGGCTCTCATTTTCCCCTCTCTTCACTGGACCCAAGAAAAATATTTGTTTTGCACGAGGCAGCTGAGGACAGGTTTTCCCATTATCTCAGACAGTGACACAAGCGGGACACGGAGTCGGTGTGCCTGGGGCAGGTGGCTTCCAGAGACGCTGATGCATTGGACCGAAGCCTCTTGCACCAGGACGCCTCATTACCTTGCTATGTGGATCTGAGCCTTCAGCTGCAAGCCCAATTTGCTTAATGAAGTAATGCATGCAGAATGCATGATTTATAGAGTGCTAATAAAGAACTACGAAAAGAAGCAGAACAGCACTGTTCAAATTAGAGCTCTGGCAAGGAAAATCAGAGTCTTGCAGTCCTCCTGAGAATGATAAACTTCAGAAACATCCACTTTGCCGCTGTGGTGCCGTGTCACGGTTCTGTGGATCTGAAATGTTCAGTTCAAACATGATTCATGAGATAAACTGGGCTTACATTAATGCAAACAAGAACAGTTTTTCCTTTTTAATTTGTGGTTAGGACAACTATGACAAACTTTAAAAACGAATGAGTCACTTATTCGCCACTAGCAGCATCAAACAGAATTGGAAAAATAATATCAAACACTCTGCTCACCTATCACTGTTTGGACAGATAGCTAGTTTTTTGTCCCTAAACTCACTAATTAAAAAACAATGCAGTTTAGTTTATACTTCTAGTGGCACAGAAATCACGCACTTCATCTTCAAGAAGCGAAAACTGGCAAAGTTTACATCAGGGGTGGGCGATATATTAATATACCACAATATTTGTCCAATAACTATATATAATCACAACATATACATTTTTATTCCAAAGAAATGGCTATCAAAAATGTCTTACATTTTGATTTTGATTTATTTGAATAGTCAAGAACACTGCAATGAGACATATTCATAAATAAATGAATACTATACTATTGTATCTATATCTGTTTGGTGTAGTTTTTCCCAACAGGAGCTAAGTGAAGGATCAGCTCCAACCAGTCAGAAATTATCTTACATAAGGTTTCATGTGCCGGTACACAAAATTAGCTTAATTTCGAAACAGACATCACTGAAAGGAACTATAACTTGCAGTTCAGTGAGTGAGTCAGATGTTGATTCAGTAACTGTTTTCGTCAGAACCAGCAACATGAGTGAAAATGAATCATTAAAAGCCGCCGCTCAAATTAATCATTTGTTCATGAATCAGACTAGCGGTGCGTTTGTTTTTGCCTGCAGCCCCTGAGGACAGGACAACTCAGCAGACAGAAACGATATTCAAAAATGAAATATTTCTAACAGTTTATCATTTTAACTGGTATATTGCTCACCCCTAGTTTAACCTTTTTTGATTAGTCTTCAGTTGGGAAGAGAATTACTACCTGGTCACTTGAAAGTGACATCAATAATCGATCAAAAAAAAAAACACAACAGCATGGTTACAACAGCATATTGGGTTGTACCCTACATTCTGATTTTCTACATTGGCACTTTTTGATTACATTTTAAAAAAATATTCCACATATGTATCAAAACTTTTTTGATACTATTTATTTTAACTTCACGTGCTATGAATACACAGAAAGCAGTTAAAATGTCCAAATACACTTTTTTTTTTCTCCAGAAAATCTTGTTTAAACTACATGGTTAAAGAATTAAACATGGGCAGTGGTCCTTTTTAGACTGCCGCTACTGGTATAAAAAACACCATGGTGGGTCTTTGCGTCCAACACTGACTCAAAGGGTAGAGATGAATTGTTTAGCAATGTTTAGGGGTTTCCTCCTTGGGGAAAACATGGACCCCGTCCAGCAACATCATAAAAATAGCTGGGATGAAGTGAAGTGCAGAGAGGCAGAGTCGTGTACACAGGATGGAAGGGTCAGTTTGGCCCCGTGGGGGTCACCGCTGAGATCACCGTCCTGCACTTGCATACTAAGCGGATCACCACAGAACCACAGTGTATGACAGTTCAGCTTATGAGAACCAGACAGCGGTAGGACTGAAATAATAGGTTAAAACGCAACCAATTACACTATCAGACTTCAGAGACCTGTACCGTGGTATTTCACCGTAACCTCTGGGGTCATTCCACAGAGATGTCAATCGTCTCTCTGTGAGGGCAAAATGTCGAGGAATGCAACGAGAGTCATTTCCTTAACATTTCCAACAAGAAGGTAGATGTTTACAAAGACACGGGTCTGAAGGGATGACTATTTATTTTCCTGCCTGTTCTGCAGAGCGCGAGCTGGCTTGGCATTCACTCAACAGCCATCCATTTGTGTGCCATGGGGTTTATTTATACATTGCAAACCTTCATCAGGCTAATTTGATGGCGCAAAAGAGGGAAAAGGAAGGAGGAAAAAAAAAGCTTATGAAAATGCAGCTGCTGTCAGGGGCCAATACTCTCAAAACAAAACAGACGCCCTACAAGAAGTATCTTAGAATAATATACACGTGATCTGGAGGGTCACAACGTATTGCAAAATGATGGTGAAACGGCCCTTCGCAATATTGCATCTGTCCTGTTATTTCAGTCAAATGAAAAAATAACGGCCTAGCAGATATTAATAAATGAAGTTCTGTCGACCCTGGCGAGGTAAATCTTCAGTTACGAAGCGGAACGGAAAACTCAAGCTAATAAAGCCACAGAATGAGTCATTGGCTCAGTTTCACCTTTGGAATTACTAAATAGTCAAAACTCTAAATTCTGTGGTTGTTCCGAAGAGATTAAGTCATACGTACTTGATGTGGCGATCTCCGTAAACTCAAAATCCTGGAGAGATCTGAGAGCGAAAGCTCATATTTGTAGAATGAGTTATGAGCGCTGTAACTTCAAACCTGTCGGGGAGGATAAGGATACATTTTTAACCCTGGATGTTACACCGTGATTACAGGAGAGCAGCCGCTTTATTGCGGTGACCTTCACCCCCCTTTCAAGGCAGGAAGGAAGTCATTACAGATTTTTTTTCAATACAGCTGACTAGACAGGAGAGGTGCGGTGTGCCGGTTAACATGTACAGCCCCGAAAACACACGCCCATTTCATGCACCGCAATTAAGAAGGAGAATTTAGAGAGCTGATGAGGCTAAATTAAGTCAATTAGGAAAGCGCGGCCAGCAGCGCTCAGATTCCAGCCTGGAGTTGGCTTGCGTTTGATGGGGGAAATCTAATTTGATTATTTGGGATTGAAAGGAAATCCAGTCTGATTGTTTTGAAATCAAGAACACAGGAGGGAGAAGTGCTGGCTGTAAGGGCCAGCTGGGAGCAGCTCACTGTGTGCGGCTGAGGTGAACACCAAACGGGATCGCGCCAGTGGCATAGCACACAGAGCTCATGCCTTCTATGAACAAAATACTGCAACTGAATGAACTAAATGAAACCTTTGTGAACACTTACTCACCGTCATGTCATTCCAAATCTGGAACATTTTCTTTCTTCCATGCAACACATATGGAGAAAAGTTGATGAACTTATTAACCACTCTTTTCTATATAAAGCAATGTAATGGGGACTCAATCAAGCTCCAAAAATATGTGCCACTTCAGTTTTGACATCAACCCTACTTGACAATATAAGAACTTCTAATTCTTATATTTAAGCTTTTGAATTAATATGAGTTAAAAAAAAAAGAAAAGAAAAAAACTTCATATCCTATACACTACTGTTAGAAATCAGTAAGTCTCTTATGCTCACCAAGGCTGCATTTATTTGACCAAAAATACAGTAAAAACAGTAATATTGTGAAATGTCATTACAATTTAAAATAACTGTTTTCTATTCTATTTTAAAATGTAATGTATTCCTGTGATGCAAAGCTGAATTTTCACATCATTGCCCCAGTCTTCAGTGTCAGATGATCCTTCAGAGATCATTCTATTATGCTGATTTGCTGCTCAAGAAACAGTTATTTATTATTAATGCTGAAAACAGTTGTGCTGCTTAATGGTTTTTGTGGAAAGCATCTTCTTTCATGAATCTTTGATAAATAATAAATATAAAGTAGAAAAGACAGCATTTACTTGAATCCGAAATCTTTTGTAACACTGTATTTTTGCAGAATAAAGGCACCTTTAGACTGAAATATATGCAAAACGGTAATAACCTTTTATTATTAATAATACTATTAATATTATTAAAGTTCTTTTGAAATCTGAAATTTCATTTAAGTACAAGACAGTTTCTAGCTGAGAAAATATGAAATAAAATTGTTCTTACTGCCTCAAAATTGCTAAAAAATAAATAAATAATAATAATTCAATGAATCATTAACAAACTAGAATTGTTACATGAAATTCCTCACAATTCCCATCGCTATTTGTCCCCACTGCCAACTCACTCTCTGAACATGTGACTAAGGTGGGAAGTGGAGGTGAAAGAGCGGGGGTTCTGCATGAAGGCCACCACCAAACACTGCATCCATCAGGCCTACAGCCAGTGACGGACAGATAGACCGGAGCATCCGTTCCGGCTAGGGCAGACCACCCAGTGCACATGGCCCCTTCCACCAGGGCATGGACAGGATGGCTTCAAAACTCAAATCACATTGTTCTCATCTTCACTGGCTCACAAACAGCCCAATTCAAGCTAAAATATGGGAAGACACTGATAAAGTGCCACTTTGGATTGACAATCATATTCCAGCTGTCCTGAAAAATCGTTCCACAAATTTTCTGGCCAGAGAAGAAAAGTACATAGCCTGAACCACACTGAAACTGTGCCCGAAGAGTGAAATCGGTTTTATTGCTTTTTGGAAATGATGTACTATCTTAATATTAATCTATATTCCATTGATGAATCTTTATACTCTCATAGGCCAAAGGACACTTCAGATAAAATCCCCCCAAAATGTTAATCTTAAAACAATTCAGACCTAAACGAAATTCAAAAGCAAGCTCCAAATCCAAGCCACCAGCACATTCTGCTTTTCAATTTGCAATTCAGTAACCAAAACCAACAAAATTCACAAATAAACAGGCCACAATAGTTAACCATGTTAAACATCTAAACAGCATGAACGGTACCATCATGCTTGTTTTGCCCTAATTATTTAAGCTCTGTTGAAGAAAACAACACTTCAGTGGCTCTGTGGGACCGCAATTACATTTCTCCACTCCATTTGCAAAGTTGCTTTCTTTAGTAAACTGACGGTGCACTGGGTCAGGCATCCCTGAGGTATTGTAGCGCACAAAAATGCTGATTCCCTTGATGAAGAGATTTTGAAATGCATTTACTCACGTTACTGGAATTTTGTTGTGAAAAAACAAAACTTGGACCACAAAAGATGGAATAGCACTGCCACCTAGTGGTATTAATGGGAACAAAATATAACATCATACCTGTTCTTTTGACTTTGTGGATGGAGATGATTCATAGTCTTTCTTTGTGTCTAGGATTTTTTTCACAAGTCCACCTATGAACAAATGAAAACCATTCAATGATTTCTGATCTGAAGTGTACCTTTAAAGGGTTAATTCACATAATTCAACATTTATAGCAGAATTTTCATTTCAGGATGAATTATTATTGTACATGACTCACCGTGTTTGTCATCCCCTTGCAGTTCAAGTGAATTACGCTGCAATGAAACATAAGTCAATTAGTCCAAATCATGACATTTTTTTTTATCTGAATACTACATACACATATAGAACATCTATATTACCTCAACTTCCGGTATGTCAGGAGGAGGTGCAGCTGCCTCCACCACAAATTGCACATCTTCATCATCCTCATCTTCAGAGAGCTTCTTGCCATCCAAAATAACAGTCGCAGGGGTCTTGCCACTGCCCAGACTGAGAAAAACCCAGTCAAGCTTAATTACAACTTTTTTTTTTTTTACTTTTTCTTGAACAATAATATATTTTATCATAAGTTTCTAACATTTGGAGTCAGTATGACTTTTATAAAAATATAAATGAACACTTTTAATTTAGCAGGGATGCACCAAAGTGACAGCAAAGACATTTACAATATTGCAAAATATTTTAAATAAATGTTTTTTTTTTTGTCTGTTCATTAAAGAATCCTGAAAATAAATGTATCATGGTTCACAAAAAATATTAATTAGCACAGCTATTTTCAACATTGAAAATACTAAGAAATTAAAACTAAATTATTAATTTAAAAAACATTCTGTAGGACCATGTGACACTGAAGACACTGAAAATTCACCTTTGTCATCATAGAATAAATTATATTTTATAATAATAAATTAAAACAAAAATAATTATTTTAAATTGCAATGATATTTCACAATAAAACTGTTTTTACTGTATTTTGATCAAATAAATACAGTCTTGGTGAGCATAAGAGACTTCTTTAAAACAACATAAAACATTTTTACCATGCCCAAATTTTGAATGGTAAAGTATATCCATATTACAGAATGTTAAGGGGGAATTACAGGTAAGAACCCCCTACCTGAAGTAAAATCACTGTATTTGCAGCCCGCTTGTTGTGGCTTACTTCTTTAATATAAAGTGAGAAACTGAGAACCTGATGAGCGAGATCTCTCACCTCTCTGCTGAGGTCACATGATCAGTGTAGCTCTCCTGTCGTTTGACGCGGGGGGCTGCCGGTCGTGCACTGCTAGGCCGCGGTAACCGTCTACTCACATAAACATTCAAATCAATTAAGAACAAACACGTTCACACGGGAAATACACAAGCACTTTTTGAAAGTTCCTATATGGCTAAATGCTTACAAAAACAGTCTCAAGAACCAATAGTAATGATCTGGATGAGAGTGATATCTTGTGGTTAAATCTTGCGGTACAGTGCAGTGAAAGCGAGGGATTTGCATCAGTGGCTTCCACTGCCAGACAATCTCTCACGGGGGCGTATATGATACACTCCATCCACCCACAAACACCTCAGCACATAATCACACTGGCTTACTTTGTTATCATTGGATGGAAATGTAGCCATTTTTATCTTTAAATCAACACACTTATGGGATCATTACCACTAATTAAGAAAGAAAAAAAGAAAGAAAGAACAAACCTATGTGTTGTTTGAGGTGGCACAGAATCCGTTATGTCTCCATTCTCAATGGGGACTGGTTTCTCTGCTGAAGGGGCTTCCCCTTCTGGAAGAAAGAGAAATTTGAATAGATACTAACTAAAGTGGAGAGAGATTTTATGAACTATATTTTGACAATAAATAAATACAAAATAATCACAATATGATTTTAAAGTTAAAGCATGCAGCTTTTCATACAATCGTTACACATTGTGATTGCAATTTCAATTAAGGAGAGAAGAAAAAAACAATTACAGTAGATTTATTTGTTTCATTTGTTACAGTTCAATACAGTTTCCTTGCTGGTAAATATACTTAGTATAAATAATAGTGCCAAGCCACTGGCAGGTATAGCAAAAAGTTAGATTTGGACCCAGGTACGAGGTGCTCACTAAAGAAAACAACACTCACCTCCTTCACTGTCAGTCTCATCTGAAACAGAGATACACATCCATGTCATTATTTAAGACTAATCACATCAAACAATATCTGACGTGCTGCTGTGCTGCTAGAAACAACTAAACAGATCAAGCTGGACATGCAACAATGCATTAATGCACTGTGCATCAATAATTAATAGGGTCTGTTAAGAAAGACATTTAGTACCTTGACCTCCTGTTTTGGGCCACCGCCGCTGTCCTTTAGCCGATGAGGGCCGTGGGATCCGGGAAGGACTCTCAGCCTGAAAGGAATGAGGAAAGACATTAGTTTCCATGCATTTCCACTAGGAGTTCCTCTCCTGGGGAGCACTTAAATTGACATTAGCCAATAAACACGTGAGCCCTCTTTCTAAACAAACCCTCTAAGACAAACAATCTTCTGGGCTGTTGTTGCACACATGAAATATCATCACAGAGTCGGGCAATAAGAAAATGCAGGAAACAGATTTCACTTCTTGGGACAAACACAAATTACCTGGATTTCAGAGAGATCTGTAGGCTGAATGAAGAAAACAAAACGCAACAAGGGCCTTAAAACTTCAACATTTATATAGTACACTTATAGCAACTAGCCAAATAAAAAAAGCTTACTACTCTAAATGAGAAGCTACTGAAGCTGCAAAGAGACATGGACATGGAGCGACAAAACTACAGTCAGGAAATAATACAAGAAGCTACAATTTCAGACAGTTAGAGGGTATGTAAGGGCACTTTCTAAAGCAAAACACTTTTAGGGATTTGAACAGACCCTTGAACAGACCATACCCAAAAAACAAAACAAAACTGTGAGAACTGTGAGAAACTTTGTGACCAAAGAAGTTCATCTGACTTAAAAATGACAGTTAAAAATAGCAGGATTATGTACGGTGTACTGTTGATGTGACAACGAGCAAGCATCTTGTTTTCTATTGTCTGTGCACAAAAAGCTCCATGTAAGTTAACATTTTCGAGAAATGCAATATCCAAGCATGTGATGCATTGTTGCCTATGCTTTGTTGTAATAATAATAATAATGTTTTATTATTACATTTTATTTATAGGCGCCTTTCTTGACACTCAAGGTCACCGTATATCATTAACAAGACAAAAACAATAAAGAAAATAAGATACATTACAATTAAAAACACAATGCAGTTGTGATCAAAGGGAGTAAGCTATGCTGAACAGATGGGTTTTGAGTTTGGATTTAAAATGTGGGAGAGAGTCAATGTTACGAAGATCAGAAGGGAGTGAATTCCAAAGCTGGGGAGCAGAGCGGCTGAAAGCTCTGCTCCCCATAGTATCAAGGCGGACAGGGGGAACAGTGAGATGAATGGAAGAAGAGGATCTGATAGTGCGAGCGGGAGTGGCAATATGGAGAAGGTCAAGAAGATATGGAGGTGCAAGATTATGAATGACTTTAAAAGTGAGGAGAAGTATTTTGTAATTAATACGGTAAGTAATGGGGAGCCAATGAAGCTGTTGTAAAGTGGGTGTGATGTGATGGATAGAGGGGGTGCAAGTGATAATACGGGCAGCTGAATTTTGAACCAGTTGTAACTTATGGAGGGTTTTATGCGGGAGGCCAAACAAAAGGGAATTACAATAGTCTAAACGAGAGGTGACTAGACTATGAACGAGAATGGCAGTGGAGTGAAGCGTGAGGGAAGGACGTAAACGGTTGATGTTACGAAGGTGAAAGTAAGCAGACCGGGTAACATTATTAACATGGGAGGTGAAAGAGAGGGTGCTATCGTAGATGACACCCAGACTCTTAACCTGGGTGTTGTTGTTGCTATTTACAGTGATTTGTGATAAATATTAAGGGTGCTCCGATCAGGATTTGTGAGGCCGATCACCGATCGCCGATCACAGAAAGCAGTATCTGCCGATACCGATCACCGATACTGATCTTTTTAAAGCCTTCTTTTTATAATTTAGAACTATTTATAGTGATACTCCAATCAGGATTTTTAGACATTAATTCAGGGCCTGAATTTCATTTTTGAAAATGGGGGAAATTCCCCTCATAGTGACTCTTGTGAGAGGGGAAGCAGCACGGACTGTGCTTTCACAGAAGGGTCCGCTACTGATCCGTGGCTGTTTACCACAAACACAACATTTATCCATTATTTTGATTTCAAACCCAAACATTGTCACTGAAAATGCTTTTTCAGCATTGCAATTATTATTTTACACAGTACAGTAATACAATTTTTCACAGACATGTTTAAACAATAAATATAAGCAACACATTATTCAATGCTTTTTACTTTTGCATTTACTTCTAGATTTATATATTAAGTTGCTCAAGCAAGTGACAAAACATTTAAACTACTTTCTTACGTTATCAACTTGTCTTTTCAATGTGTATGTGGGCAACATCCGGATACAGGTCGCATGTTAATGCCAAGTGTAAACGCAGCTGAGATGGTGCCGCTGCATGTCGTGCCAAACCTCTCACGGCAGCGTCATCAGCTTGAGATAGGTTTTTTGAGATCGGCCTTTTTAGAGACAGTCGGTCAATCATCCCAACGTGATTATCGGCCGATAGTGATCGGTAGCCGATCAATCGGAGCACCCCTAATAAATATATTCATGAATGTTTTTCATGAATGGATTTTATAATACAAATAGCAATGTGTAACATTTTACCATATTTAGTGCAAC